CATACAAGAAGCATACATGACTTTATTTGTGGCCTAGTCTCCTCTATAGGAAGTGCTTGCTAAAGAATGTTTACTTGCATTTGCTCTCACCTGCATCATCTCAACACACCCATACAACTGGTTCCCTTATAACATAAATGAAATCAGTTCTTAATTCATCATTCCATCTGTAAATCAATCAAGGGCATAGAATTATTATAAGAAACCTAGGGCAGGATGCTAAAGTAAGCAAGAGAAACGAAGAAAATCTAAATACAGAAGAAAACTCTGTTCACCCCTACGGTAGTAAGAGGCACGAGCTTTGAAGGCAGCCAGAGAGAGATGGAACTCCTGCTCTTCCACTGACAAGCTGTGTGATTGTGAGCAGGTTGCATAAATTCTCTGTGCCTCAGTTTCCTATTTGAGGACAAAGAATATCCCCTAGATTTGTTGAGACATGTAGAGGACATTTTGGCAAACATTTTCAGTGATGTACCAGAAATGACATGTTTTAGGCTCTGCTAGCCAGTCTCTCTCTTAACTACTCAAAAGGGGAATCAGCCATAGACAATATGTAAACCAGTGAGTATGGCTGTGTTCCAATAGAACTTTATTGACAAAAAACAAGTGGTGGGCCTGATTTGAACCAAGGACTGGAGTTTGCTGACCTCTGCACTAGAGCAATGCTTGCACAGGTTAAACTTAACATTATTGCAGCTGTTATTATTTTCCTTGGAGAAATTTACTTCCTGGCAAATAACACAAGTTTGGACCTTTTATACATCCACTTAATCATGTGGTTCCCCCATAATAGGAACATCTCACCTATTTGTATTAATTGAAATCAATACAAAATGGGCTTGAGTCTGAAACTCATGATCTGAGATGATTTTGCACCACTCCTCGTTTATACTGATCATCAGAAGTAAAACCAGTAGAGTATTTGCTGGGGTGATATAGCTCCCCCTATAATTCCAATCATTCTGAAACACAAAAGTTAACTTGAAAACCCCTGAAAGATACTATAATGGGAAACATGCATCAAAAGAAGCTGCCTGACTGTTATGACTAATTTTGTTCATTGGGAAATCGTTGATGTTGAATGATAAATTATGTTAATTAATAACTGTGCTAAATTAAACTGAAGCGACACCAAATAAACCCAAGCCACTAAGCTGCTGAATATGGAATACATCACTCCTTTTCTTCCCTCCAGGATCACATTTGTACTTACAGTATAAATATATATACAAAACCTTCAGAATTATTCAGGTATTTCTGATTGGAAAACTTGGCATTGATGCCATGATCTAGGGAATTTAGGGTGACCACTGGTGAAGCAACAGTTAGGTTTTCTAGTTGAGGTGCCTGCGCTGCTGACTCATAAGTACAATGATTTAAGTACCTCTAATTTTTTCCAGGAGCTGACTATGCATAAAAACAATTTTAAGTGAATTTTTAAAAGCCATGTCTGCCTTCTTCTTATATCCATTTTTGCAAGCAAATATTTTTTGTAGAGTTTCCCAAGAAGTCATTGTTCTCCTCTGCTCACACAGTCCCCCCAGCTTATTAGATCCTCTGAGTGGCTGTGCCCACCTGTCGGGCCTGGACCAGGGTGGCTGCATCAACCCAGCACAGACAGGAAATCCCCCCACCCCTCTCAGCATCAGTGTACCCCCATTCTCCCTCCTTCTCATTTCTGCCTCACCCACTCAACCCCAGCTCCCTGCTCTGACACCAGCTGCCCACTGGCTGGGGTGCTGATTGTTAACACATGCAGCTGGGAAAAGACTCATAGCCACATTAGTCTTCACATAACCACTGACTTAGCCAATTCTAAAGGACATGCAAGTCACTTTGTTAAATTGCAGATTCTGACTCAGTAGGTCAGGGTTGAGGTCCAAGTTTTGTGTATCTGACCAACTCCAAAGACATACCCAGGCTCTAGGTCTAAACAATACACTCTCCAGGCTTTGACTCTTGCCATAAACTACTTTGAGCCAGTTGCTTCTTACAGTGCCTGACTCCCAGGCTGACCTGACTGTTGATTTCCAGACTAGCATGCTCCCCGCCCACACTTTCCATTGTAGGCACCTCATGGGTGCCTGTCCAGCTGCCTTAGCTAAAAAAATAACAGGAAAAGTCTCAATAGAGGTGGGTAGGGGTTTCTCTCACCTTGAGGCCTCATCTCCTTCTTCGGAGAGGAATCACCTTTGGAGAATGTCTGGTTTCACCTCTACCCTAAGCTAAGGACCTCCTTTATGTCCCACATTCAGGCTCAAATGCAGATTAGATTATTTTTTGGATGAAGGCCTTGCTGATTTTCCACAGGCAGCAAGTGACTGCAAAACATGAGCTTGGAAGTCTTTGTGAGGTGTTGGGGCCTGGTCCTACATTTAGAGAAGGGTGTCAGTTTCTCCACCCACCGGGAGTGCTGAGATTGACTTGCCCCTTGATGCTGTTATTCCTCACTTTTAATGCTTTAAAGCTTTTTGTAAGTCTGGGCTCATATGTGGCTTTGTTTCTACTGGGAAAAAAAGTGTCAAAATGTGTAGCTTCAAATTTGATCCTAGGTAGTTTGGACAAATCCCACAAGCAGGCTGCCAAAATTGGCTCATTTTTCAACATGGATCAGATGCTTTTTTTTTTTTTTCCCCTCTCACAAAATTAGATTTTGTTCATTTGGGTCTGTGTGTTATATGGGGAGGGTGGTTATTACAAGCGGATGACTCTTTCAAAATAGAAAATGCTTAAAGTGTAATGCAGTATCAAGAAAAATATCCTCCTTTCTGAATGAGTTAGCTCTGATTCGTCCCCACTAAGTGTTGTATGTGAAGAATATGCTATTTCACCCAACAGCCTCTTGTTCCCCTCCCTTGGTTTCTTGGAGAGGAGGATGGGCCCTCATTCCCAGCATAGCACAGGAGCGTCATACCAAGGTGTCCCTGAGACACCTGCTACCATACTGTACCTTTGTTCTGAGGGTGGAACAAAATTTAGAGAGTGTTCTTCTCATAGAAAACTGATACTTTAAGCCACTTTTCTCAATCACTTCGAACCCAATTTCCTTAACCATGCCAGGGAAATGAGACATTATAGTAATTTCATATAGGGACCTTCCCAGTTTGTTCATAAAATGTATACCCAGGGGTACTTATAGTGACCAATTTCCTGCTCTTAACGCCAGCTGCCTATTGGCTGGTGTTCTATTACTCAGCAACCTCTGCTTATTACCACATCCAATTGGGAAAAGACTCATAACCACATTAGTTTTAACATCCATTGACTCAATCAACTTTAATGGACAAGCAAATCGCCTTGTTAAATTTCAGATTCTTATTCAGTAGGTCAGGAGTGAGGCCCAAGTTCTGTGTATCTAACCAGCTCCAAGGAAATACCCAAGTGGTAGGTCTAAAGACTACAAGGATTTGGACCACAGTGTATACAACACCATACATAGACAAGAGCAGATTAAAAATCCTAGGCAAGCCTTCAGCATGGAATCTTCTCTGCTTTAAATATTCTCTGGCTAGAAATCAGAGGGCCAGGTAACTGTGAAAGAATTTCTATAACTAGCTGAGCCCCACAGATAATTTCTGATTCTGCCTCTATCCCCTCAAAAATCCGTAGTGGGAAATTATAGGGTTCTCACCTCAGCAAAGTGTCTACAAAAGGCTGATCATCTTGATCCTTCCATTAGAACTAAACAGACAAGTTACTCTGGTTCCCTTCTCCTCCTAGGAAAACTCCCATTGGAACACAGCAAACCTCTCCTCTCTTGGTCTCATGCACTGCCAGCTGTCCCCAGCTGTGACTCAAGGCAGTTCCTAGTACTAACAGCTCCCTGTGGCAGAGATATCGTGGCCACTCCCACAGAAGCTTGGTCTCCTATTTCTTACCTTCTCAAATAGCTGGGGCATCTCCCAGATCTCTCGTGGACAGACATCTTGAAGAACACTCTCCTACCACCTTTACAAAAGAGCTCACAGAACCCACTTGGAATAATTATGTGGTTCTTTTAATAAGATGATAATGATGGTGTCCATTTATGGCATACGTTCAATGAGCTAGGACTGTCCTAAGAAACTTACAAACTTCATTTGAATTACTGCAAATGTGGGAAGGTTGTTGCTGTTTCACAGTTAGGGCAACCGAAGACAAAGTGACCGAGCCACAGATCCATGCGAGTGCCAGCGTAGCTGGTAAATGACAGAGCCTGAGTTTGAGACTGGATCTGGCTGACTCAGCAGATACTGTCTACTTCTATTCTGTGCTGCCTCTCCAATCCCCTTGTCTTGTCTTGGTTCGTGAGAAGACATGTAATTTATGGTGCCCTAAATCACATGGTCAGTCCTATTTGGTTGCATCCTGGCAAAGAATACAGATTTATGAACTTTTCCTTTGCTCAACCAAGCATTCAAACATCTAGAGACTACAGGGAATCGTTGCCCCTGAATGAATTTTGCTCTAGAGGACTTGGCAGAAGGTCTGTATTTCTCTCCTCATCTCGGGCACTGAGGCAAATATGCAAATCAGTTCCCAGGATCTGTCCCAGCATTTTATAATTTCTTAAAGTGGTAACCCATCAAAGTAAACCCTATTTTTGTCTGTAGATCCCCATCTAAAAATTACTTATGTTAATGTTAAAACCATTTTCACTGCAGATAGAGGTCAAGATTTTGACCAAACCCCCAAATTCATAAAGAACTGAGAGCACATCCCCCTTCTTTTCTATCTCTGAGAACAGGGTATACTACAGGCCTTAGATAAAGGCATCGTGAATTCAAAGCTGATGAGTGTCTGTGGTATTTGCCTATGTATGTATATTTGACTATTATAACCAAAATAAAACAAAACCAATAGTAATTCATATATACGTATATATAATGTATCCAATTTAGAATAGATTTTGCTCTCAAATAGGTTTCATGTGATGCGTATAATGTATGTCTGTCTATTTTAGAGCCTATCGTACATGTGAGGGTTCTATATAGATGTAGTATGTGTAGTATGTGTATATGTGTGTGTGTGTGTATATATATATATGTGTGTGTGTGTGTGTGTATGTACACACACACACACACACACACACACACATATATAGTCTATGATTAAACTGGGGGAGGAGTCCCTACATATAACTGCTACAGTGTCTAGTCTGGCATTAAGAAAAGCACATCTAAAGAATTGAGAAAAGTACTTTAAAAACCAAAGCTTGTTTTGATTTAAATCTCTTGAATAAAGTTATTTTGAAAATATACTCCACAGTTTCATAACGTAATAAACCTATATATTGAAAGTTGTATTATCTTTGAAAAATCATTCAAGGTCACATTGATGGCCAGTGGTTTTACTCCACTAGAAGCTAATGGCTTGAGACTGGGGATGCCCTCCAGTGTATTTTCTTCCCAAATCCCCTATAGCTCTTACATTTCTTCTCATCTGCCCCCTTTTCACAAGAGGAATGCAGAATGTCAAGTCTTTGGTCTTCTGGGCTATTTCTACAAAGTTAGTTTTGAAATCAAAGGCTGATTCTGCCTCCACAAATCTTTTTTTCTCTAATGACATTACGTCTTCACTCTACATAAAGCCTCCTGGACGCCTCTGCAGCCTGGGAGACATTCTGTTATGCAGGACAGTGATCCCTTCAATATTCTTTGGCTTCCTCTCACTCTCTTCCTCTCTCCCTCTCCTTGCTCCTCACTCGTTTGCCCTAACTTAAGGGAGAAGCATTCCCATTAGTAGATTTGGGGGTTCATATTTCTAAAGCTCATTAAAGGTGATAATGTGTTTCTCAAGGGAAAAGTAAATGAGACAAAAATTTAAATTTCCACATTAGTTCAAATAAGTACAATGCTTGAATCCTGAGACAACTGCATTTCTAAGACTCAAATAACTGGGTTTTACTATATAATATATTCCTATTGCTTCACCTCACTTAGAAAAAAAAAATCAAAATACATTTGGATTTTATTATCATTCTGAAATCTAACCTTTCCAGTTAATAGGGCATTTCTATTCTTAATTCCCATTTCACAAATTTATATATTCATTCATTCCTTAATGAGACAGGTCATATTTAAACAGAGGTGGATAGAAGCAAGTGAATTTAAAATACGGAATAAATCAGGGATCTAGGTTTTACATTCTCTATTTAATACTCTATCACATGCTTCTAAGTCCCTCCTGAATCATACCCTAATAGCTATTCTTTATTTCAACCATCCAGTTTCTGAGAACCTTTCCCATGTCAGGTACTGGGCCCATTAGAAAAATAGGCATATCATGTCTGCTCAAGGTTTTGAAGTCTCTCACACATACAACCCCAAAAGCACACCTAATATAATACACCTGTTTGTTTGTTTGTTTCTTAAGTAAAGTAAACTTAAATTGAATTTTTAGACGTGTTTTGGGACTACACAGAGCTTTCTCAAACCATTAGAAGCCCCTGGATAAGGACAGCCTGGTGTTTGCAAGCCACCCTGAGGGACCAATCTTTCTCCATCTACCTGATGGACCAGCTCTTTCCTTCCCTATCAATTTTGTAACAAGTCTGGTATTTCCCAGCTCCCAGAATATTACCCCAAAATAAAATAAAATTAAATGTGGAAACAGAGCATAGAGAGTGACTTTTTAAATCATGTTTTTCAAATTGGAAACAGAAGGTAGTTTTTGGATCTTCCCCCCAAAGCTCCTAGTATTTAAACTCTACCTGCCACAACACCCTATAGCTATGCTAGTCTTTTCTCACACATGCTTTTTAAAGGTATGTTAAAGAACACATTCTAGTTAAACAGCTAATAAAAGATAGGGTGTGGTCTACCTTTGAGGACTTCTGTGTAATGTCTGTTAAATTCTACCTTCTGGACAACGTGACACTACTCTGAATGTTCCCCCATACTTCCTCTGCCTTCCATGGTTCACTTCCATGATCATTCCCTCAAAATAAAGTCAACAACCACCCTCACTTCATTTCCTTCCAGGTCTTCTGAAACAGCATCGTCTCCTTTAACAGCTTTGTCCTACCTGTTTAACTCTATAACCCCTCTATCACTGGGTATGGCTTTAGATGATTTTTAACTGCCAATTTTGAATAGCTGCACCTGTGCTGTGGACACTCTGTGTTCAACAAGTCCCAACTATAATTAATTGTCTGCTCTCTCCCACTCTCCTGTGTTTCCCCTCTGTAGACACCATTATTCTCACTGTTTCCTAAGCAGACACCCCCCGGCATCATCGACTCCTCCATCCCCACATGCGATCCATGGCCAAGATCTGCTACTTCTGAAAATATCGTAACCCTATATTCTCATCTCCATTTCTATGACCATTCCTTAAGCCCGGCCCTCCTAAACTGCAATTTCTTGGTGAAGCCACCTAACTGATCTCCCAACCTCTGATCTTGAATTCCACCCCCACCCGGGACAAGTTACCCTCCACATTGCCATCCGCCTGGTCTTTCTAAAAATTATAAATCTCATCACTTCTCCTGCGGGGTCTCTTCATCATGTTCAAGGTAAAATTCATGTAACAGAGTAAACAAAGCCCCTGGTGCTGATCTGGCCTTGCCTGCCCACCATTTCCTGCCCCACCTCTGACCACCAGCACCCACCTTAATAATAATTATAGCAATTGCTAATATGTAGGGGGTGCTTTCTCAGCCATGGTGCTAAGTGACTTATATTGATTTTTTTTTTCTATTTAAGCTTCACAATGATTCTAACATACCTTTAAAAACAATAGTAAATGAACTATTGTTATCATCCCCCTTTTACAGGCTTGCCTAAGGGCACCGATCTGGGTGCTGACACAGGCAGAGACTCTGTGCTCTACACCTGTGTCCCTCCACCTGTGACACTGCATACTTTCACACCTGTGCTCTACACCTGTGTCCCTCCACCTGTGGCACCGCATACTTTCACACCTGTGCTCTACACCTATGTCCCTCCACCTGTGACACTGCATACTTTCACACCTGTGCTCTACACCTGTGTCCCTCCACCTGTGGCACCGCATACTTTCACACCTGTGCTCTACACCTGTGTCCCTCCACCTGTGGCACCGCATACTTTCACACCTGTGCTCTACACCTGTGTCCCTCCACCTGTGGCACCGCATACTTTCACACCTGTGCTCTACACCTGTGTCCCTCCACCTGTGGCACCGCATACTTTCACACCTGTGCTCTACACCTGCATCCCTCCACCTGTGGCACCGCATACTTTCACACCTGTGCTCTACACCTGCGTCCCTCCACCTGTGGCACCACCCGCTTTCACACCTCTGTACTTTACACTCTGCCTAAGTGTCCCTTGCCTCTCTATTCTCATGACAATTCTGCCTCTTTTCTCCAGATGTTGGTAAGTAGCCCCAAGCCCCATTTTGTAATTAGAAAGTCTATTTTAAGCACCCATCTATTCAGCACTAATCTGAAACCACTGCTGCATATCAGCTCATTATTCACCCCCACCCCAATGCTGGAGAAAACTAAAAGACAAAGAATCCAAAGGTGTCAGGTACCAAGAGCTGAACCTTGGAGGAGGGTCCCATTTTCTATGACTACTTGAGTGCAAGCATTGGAGAGATTATCAGTGCACTTCCCTTTCACACTTACCTCGGCAGTGTCATCAGGTAGGTCCACTACGAATTGGTGAGCAGAACTTAGATTCAGAGCATGAGGGGAGGTGGATGGAGCAGGAGAGCATGGAGAATACCTGTCTAGGGCTTGAGTAAAAACAGTTGCAAAATAGGTGGCCCTACTCCTTGGTTTAGGAAAGAAGATCAGGTAGACATTGACTTGAAGACCAGTTTGGACCTAGTATTTACATGTCTGTCCTTTCATTAGCTCTTAAAGGAGAGGAATCTATCTGCCTTTGAAATTATTCTATCTCATTCTTATCTGTAGCTCTTTACCTGTAAATTTCACAAGGTATTTGTTGAAAACAAAGAACAAACACAAGAAAGAGTAAAAGGCCCTAGCTGGTTTGGCTCAGCAGTTAGAGCATCAGCCTGCAGACCAAAGAGTCACAGGTTCAATTCCCCCCTGGCCCTGGTCAGGTTTGTGCAGGAGGCAAAATCAATATATCTCTCTCACATCAATGTTTCTCTCTCTCTCCCCTCCCTTTTTCCTCCTTCCTCACTTCTACTCTATCTAAAAATCAATGGAAATATATCCTCAGGTGAAGATTAACAACAACAACAAAAAGAACAAAAGTAACAAACAAAGAAACAATATATATATATATAGTGTTTTTCTCCAAATTTGTTTCTCAAATAATTATAGTTGTTAATGGACTATTACACCTACTATATTAGTATATAGAGCCTAATGAGAAAAACCCACCTGGGTAAAATGATCATCAGTGGGAATTATTTTAGTCCTCAAAGTCTGAGTTACAAGAGAGCAGTTAGGGATTTAAGGCAAAATTGATTTCCCTAGAGGTCGACTTTGTGGACCCTCTACCGTTAGACTGGGACCCTGTGTCCGCATGAGGAGAGAATGGCTGTGACAATACAATTGCTTTGACAACACATTTTCTAGTAAAAGCTGTGGCACAGCAAAGGACCCCAACAATCACCCACCCCTGTGAACCCCAGAATCCCAGCCCTACATTAAGAAATAACAATGATGATGCAATGGAATTAAATAACACCCTAATAAATAAACTTTTAAACATTTTGCTTAATATCTCAGACTTAACACTGTTTGGCATCACAATAATAAAAAGAGCATTCCAGGGAGACTCTTCCTGGTAATATTCCTTAAGTAGTATCCTATAGTCTAGATTCCTTTTGACCATTGGAATTTCCCCCAGTACATCTAAATCCTGGCTGAAGGAAAAAGAGGAAAAGTGTACAAAATACAAAAATATAATAAAGAGGGAAGTGTGTTTGCAATCAGACATCAACAGCAGTGAAGAGGCAAAGAAGTGATTAATTGTGTCCATGAGTGATGCTGTATCCATCTTCATACCTCTTGATGGATCTCTAGCACAGCAGAAGTCTCTCTGACAGTGGTTATAGTGTGCAGCCTAGACAGAGAAGAGCAATGCCATTTAATATATATTTTATTGACATACACACACACACACGTATGTATGTCATGCCAACTTTGACTACCATGAATATTATATGCACAAGA